TGTTAATTTTAATCTTTAGCTTAAGAAATTTTTTTATTTAAGTAAATTATTTTCTCCACTATATTCGGATTGATTTCTTATTAATTTGATGCCTGCCTCCGATCAACAATTGCAATTGTTATATAACACTCACTTTGCTCGTGCCGCAAATGTCAGAGCAGGCATGAATTTTAATTTTAAAACGTAATGAATATGATTTTTTTCGGACTTTTGATCGGATATGAAGAAAAATCGTATACACTACACGGGGAGAAAATTTGAAATTCTTGCACTGTACACCATGATGCCCGAGGCCAAGCTTTGTAATATACTATTTTCTTTAATTGAGGAAGGAAAAGGATAAATAAAGTAAATTATGAAAATGAACGTTATCGTAAAAAACAAGGTAATTGAACCACCGAATGCTAAAACACCTTTTTTACTCTTACCCCTTTCTTTTAGTTAATTTGAAAAAAAATGAAAAAATGTTCATATTGTATGATAGCAGTAGTAAATGTTTGTAAAATGTGTTAAAAATTGTTTAGTCAACTGGAAAGTAAAAGTAATTATGTAATAAAAATCTATATAGGGAAGAAATTATGTACAAAAATGTTGGAAGGTAAAGATGAACCTAGCTAGAGTGTAGGTCAGAGGTCATTACTATTATATGCGATTATATTTATCCTAAGTAAAGGTATGAGTTTGAGTTGGGTCTAAGTACATTATTCTCTAAAAATGAATTAGTAAGAACTGTGAAACAGTGTATACGGAGAAAAAATAAGGTATGTACAACTTTATTTTATACTTTTATGAAGTAAATTTCATAAATATTTCAATCCAATATAAGGACAGCTAGCCACTACAATCCTTATTTCCCTGTCCTGAGAAGGACATTTTATTTGAGTACTTCGTCTTATAGGGCATAACTCTGAAAATGACTGTACTTCTAGTGACGGCGTTACTTGGGACGTGATATTCTCGCGCCTTTAGAAAGGCACGAGGATACACGCAGCTAGCTACTATAATCAAATTTACCTTATTTTTTTGAATAAATTAAAAATTGTCACGTAAGCATATAGTAAAGTTTTTTTTTGAATAAATTTTCAACGCTAATGATCTTCCATCTGATTCTAAATTATGAATTCTAAGTACGATAAAAATTCGTAAAGTAAATGTGGAAAAACTCAAAGAGATGTTAAAACTAAGAGTATAATCATAGTTTGTTAATGTACAAACTTCAATTTTTATTCTAATAAAAAAAAATTATGCAACTTTGATGCACGGAGAAAAATCATGTGGTAGATTTTGCATAAAAAGTTATGTCGATTTTTTAAAGTAATTTTTACATAATTTTAAGTAAAGACTACATGTTATTTGTGTTCAAACTATTGTAGACCTAATTAAAAATTACATGTAGATTTATGTCACTTCTTTATCGTGTTATTACATTGATTTTGTGTAATTTTGACATTGAAACAATGCTACATTTCCTCGTCAGAAATGTTAAAGAGTTTTCAAGTTCATTTATTGAATCTGTTATGTAGAAATTACTTTCTTGTAGAGTCAGATTTACTCACAGGCAAAGTAATATAAACATATGATGACCGCAGGTTTCCTAGAATTCAGTCATCGGTTTTGTTTACTTCAGAGTTCTGTAGATTTTACTCAAGTATGAAATAAAAACAACTGATCACCTAAGTTATTGGTGTGCCAATACGAAAAATACTCCTTCCATTTATCGATCGACAGTTTGAATTTTTAAGATAAAATTAGAGTAAAAATTACTATGCAGTTTAGTAATTTCACAATGTGCACAGTAATTTTTATAATATGTATAGTAATTTTTACCCTCACCCTGCAGTGTCACCAAATTACTATAAAATTCAGGGTAATTTTTACTATACATTTCTCTGCGTGTGTGGACACATGTACATATGTATGATATGTTCATTATCAATTTTTGTCTCGCATATTTCGAATTTAAATGATATTGATATGTGACCAATTCCCTTTAATGCATAATTATGTTAACTAAGCTTGAATAAATTAAAAAAAGTAAAAATGAAGATAATTAAAAAAACCTTGTAACATTGTACTTTCAATTTATCGGATCATGTGACTATCACAAATAGTTTGTTCAGTTTGTGACTGAGACTAGAGCTGACCAGACACTATATACTAACTTTAGAAGCTATTATTTTAAAATTAATAAACATCTTGATTGTTATTTTATAATTACTTACCGCCTTTTATGAAAAATAATAGCGGAATACGGAGCAAGACGGATCTATGGGGCAAGACGCCTTTTTGAATTTTGAAATGATTTATACATATAATAATGTAATTTGAGTGATAATCATATTTTCAACTCAATGTTTACTCTCGTATTAACAGCTTTGGAGGATCCGTTTTGCTTCACTAAGTTACCAAAAATCGAAAAAGTCATCTTGCCCCGTATTCTTCTATGTATCATATTGATGGAGAAATGTGACGATTTTGAAAAGAAAAAATATGTTGACAATTCTATAAATAACTTGAGAAATTACTTTATAATGCAAAGAATTGAATAGATTTATTTTATAGAAGAATTTAGTCTTATCTTGATCAGCCATAATACAATTTTCTCGTGTATCTTTGAAAAGAATTATTTCCAATTCTTATCTCGATCTATACTCAGTATTATATTAATTATAATAACACACATATCTTTTCGAGTAAATTCGTATTGCACGAAAATGATAAAATACTTATAGTATTACAGAATACATACTGAGGTAATTAGAAGGGATTGCGTGTGCATGATAAAAATATACATTCAACTTGAAAAGACAGATTCCCGTAATTTTGTCATTTTTTTGTTTATAAAAAATAACTGTTGTTATAAACAACACATAACTGTCTAGAGCTATATGAAGTTATTGATCACTATATTATGTTGAATTCAGATGTCAACAATGTTAATGATCTAATAATAATTAGAATCTATTTCAAATGACTTTTTTACTCAACTTATTTTACACTCTTTTTATAATAAAAAAAAACAACGGCTGGACCGAACTTGTATAAACTTCTTTCAGATCTTTTTCATTGTATTATCTTTAAAATAAAAATTGTCTGAAGTCGATATCTTTAGTAGTTCTCGAGATATCGAAAGCGAAAAAAAACCTGACACACGCACGTACATACATACATTGATGTTTAAACCTTCTAATATATATAAGCATTGCTTTCAAATGTCTCAAAACGTAAAGATATGATAAAATTACAAATTTCAAAAATCGACCCTATTACAATCACTTCCTAATGCGAAGTTAATAAAGCTGATAGAGTTAATTTTTGCGTAAATTTTTAATCAAAAATTATGAAAATTGAAAATAGAAATATTTATATTTACTTTTATTATTATGGATGTTTAATATATTTCAGTAAGGGTTCTACTGATGTAGAGATATATTGCCAAACATTTACGTGACTGAAATAATAAATGTTATACTTTTGATTGATATGAAATAGTGATATAATTAATTACATTAATAATTTTCTGTAATTAATTGTTCAGCTCACAATTATTTAAGCTTCAATGTTTTCTATATAGTTTTGTGGAAGAAAGATACCTTAATGATCATCACAAATGCTATAATTGCATAATAATTATGAGCTACTAATTTATTAAATATCATTGCTGATGAAAAATATTGAAAAAATTCGTTAGTTATTTATTTTATAAAAATATTTAATATTGACAATTGCGACTCTTAAAGTGTCTTAGAACATTTTTTAAAATTTATTCAGAAACTGAAACCAACGAGAATTGTCGTAGAATCTAAAAACGCTTCATTGTCTGACCATAGGCCCGTTATATATGAATTAGTTGATAATCGTGGTATCTATATATGCCACTATTATCCTAATACTGTACACCGAGGTCGTAAGCATTTTATTAACTCTATCTGCCTCGACCCAATATCTGTCGATGTTTATAAAAAAAAGTGAATTTTTGAAATCTTTTGCTGGAAAAAAAATCCATGATTAAATAAATTTAATTGATGTATGAATACGATATAAATAGATTTATAAAAGTTTACAGGATAATAATTGGAAAATCACGTAGTCACTGGTGAATTTTCTTTTTTTAACAATTCACATCAACTTATCTATAGAGGGAAGAAAATAGTACATTATACAAAACCATCAGATCAGTGATAAATTGTGAGGGCAATTGCTTTTATTTCACTGTTTTAGGCACTAGTATAGTTAACCCTTCGAATGGAGATGGTACACGGAAAAAATTTCCTAGGAATTTTTACTAGTCAATTCAGAGTAAATTTTACTAGCCAAAAAAATTAAAAATTAACAATTTTTGCAGTAACAATAGTTAAAAAACTTAGGAAAAAGTACTAGTTTGGCTGGTAAAAATTCCTAGAACAAAATTTATAAATTCAGAAATTTACTTTTTATTCAATTCATCAATTAAATATAATTATACCTACATCAAAGGATTATTTTATACTTTCAGATGTTTTTACTTTACTATGCCAAAAAAATTTTGATTTTTAATTTTTTTGGCCAGTAAAATTTACTCTAAATTGACTAGTAAAAATTCCTAGAAAATTTTTTCCGTGTAGATATGTCATTGAGAGGACTTTAAAAGGTTTTAAAAGTCTGAGAGGAGCACTGTAAATCTCAGTTTTCCAAAATGCATTATTTTAATTTGGATAAGTGTGTTAAATATGACGTCACCTATTTGATTAGCATTGTAGTCACTTTTAACGCAGATCTAAGTGTGTAAAAAGTGACTATAATGTTAATCAAATGAGTGACGTCATATTTAACACACTTATCCGCATTAAAATAATGCATTTTGGAAAACTGGGATTTACAGTGAAGGCACGTATTCAAGTATAAACTTCTCAAACACTTAACTTGCGTAGTAATAAAATAAGGTTCGTTATAAAAGATTCTACTTCATTGCTACTCAAGTTAATTGTTTGAAGCAGTTTTTGTAAATTATAAGTAATGACAAAAATTAAACAATGCGTATACTACTTTTAGAGTTGATTTAACGAATGATGCAGCTATTAGAATTCGCACCAACAAATATTCCCCAATAAAGTGGAAATTTTTTTATCAAATTTTACTAGTTGGCTCCAAGATAAGGAGAAACACGTTGTATTTTACTTAAATTCACAGCCAATTGAAGAAAAACCTTTTAAACCTCTGGTTTAAGAATATCATATTTTGGTAGTGAATTATATGAACTCGTGAAAAACGAGTTCAGATTTGATTTTTTTTTAATTTTCAGATATGAACAGTCTCATAATACGGATCTGATCAGACATGGCCATATATAAACTCGTTTTTCACGAGAAGGCTTTATTTCACCAGTACTCCATGCTTATTGTTGTCACTAATTGAACAAATTAATCTAGATGATTACTGATTTGGAAAAAAATATGTCAATCGCAAACCTAAATTAAAAGTTTGCTAAACTTCTCCATTCACCGTCGACTATATCCATTTCTTTGCTGAAAGGGAAGCAAACTACAATTCGCTGTTCATTTAAATTCACTACCGACTCATCTTTACCAGGAATATTTGGCATTATGCGAACATATCTTAATGATTTGTCAAATATTTCTCGGAAACTGTATACCAAAATCGGCCCGAATTGGGAAGACATGAAACCAATATTACTTAAATTCGGTTTGGCGGTAGTGTTTTCAGCAACAATGAAAGCACCCCACTCGTAAAAACAAGCAAGTAAATAATATATTCCTGGCACTCTGCTCCATTGGGTATGGAATAACTGAATGACAGCACCGAAATAACTATTTTTTGTTACTATGTTTATATCATTAAGTACTTCATCCCATTCAGTTACTTCATAATCCTCTATTCCATAATTTTTGTCAATGTTGCCATTTTGTGTTATTGTTACGTCATAACTGAAACCGTATATACTTTTGTTATAAACAGTAAATGTAGATTTATATAATGCAGGTTCGTTAAGCCATTTTTCAGCTATTTTATCGATATTTTTCATTCTAATTTTTATATTAAATAAGTCTTCCATTACTTCAGCTACTTTGATTAAAAAATTTTTTGTTACATTTTGATTAAAGTAAAATGGAAACATTTCTCTGTACATAATTCTTTAAAAATTTTAAACAGAGTTAATGATTAAATTATCTCGTATTTCTTTGTATACGTCTCTAATATAATTATTCAAGAAAAAAAAGAAAATTATTCTCTGCTCTTTTTCTCTTTGAAGTAGGCTTATTTTTGTGATTAAAATTTTCCTTTTTATCTTTACTTAAAGTTAAAGTTAAAGTTTGCACTCTGATTTTAGGCCGTAAAGCGACGTGTTCTATCCCAAATTAAAAGACAAAAAATCGTTTGTGCACATGCCTATAGACGGGTGTTGTCTTGTTTTGTGAGAAAAAGAACATTACTTTTTTAATCTTAAAACTGAGAACAGATTTTGATTCTGTACGATGATATGTTGATCGAGAAAGCAAAGTACAATCTTTACTCAGATGTTAGTCTAGTCAAGGTGCTCTGAAAAGTGAATGTTCATCGAACATTAACCGATTTTGTTGATAAGGTTGTTTTGGATCATTACTTTTTTGAATAAAAAAAAAAAAAAAACATTTATTATGACAAATTTTTTGAATTTTCATTTTTTATTTTTTATTCAAACAAGTTATGATACTTCATCAATGCTAAGTTGTTTTATATATTTGGCATGAATGTAGCTTCCGATTAAAAAAAAAAATTCAAAAAATTCATTTGATGATGAGCTACGATTAATTGTTTAAAAAACAGTGGGACTGTTGACATAAACAATTAATATCTCAAAAATAGAACAATATCTCGAGAACCATTGGTCGTAGAGAGTTAAAGCTGATCTCATTGTTTTGCTCGTGAAAAGCTCTAAAAATTGCACTTATCATGTCTCGATCTCCGATGCGTTTTTTCCAGATATTTAATACAAAGAACAACACATTTTGCCATGTGTTCACAAATTCATACTGATGTCTGCCGTCACTAAAAACAATCTAACGAACAAAATTGGTTAATGTTCAATGGACTTTCAATTCTCGCTCTTTCTCAAAATATAGTGACTGAACTATATTTGTTATTCTCACCTTCGGGTCGGGCAGTTTTACACTCCAGTCATCATATCGTACTTAGCTTGAAGTTTTTCTCTGCGTTATAAATCTTTTCAAAAAGTTGATTATTTATTTTACAATTTTCTTCGTCCAATAATGTTTAACTATTTTATTCTGAAAAATTCTAACGAAGGCCGATATCTTATTAAGATATCTGTAAGTTTTAAACAGAAGAAGGTAGGATAATGGTCTATTCGTTTATTATGCAAACACGGTGCGTCTTCCATCAGCTAACCCACAAATATATTAAAAAATAACTTCTTGGCATTAAACAGAAACTTCGAAAAGTGACAATTAATAATAATTTAACATAGTGAAATATAATTTAATGAAAACAAAAAGTGACCCTTAATCCTACCCTAGTAGCCAAGATCTGTCATTAGAATTGTCGACAGACTTACGTATGTCTGTTTTCTTTCTGCGGCAGCATCTGACGTCTGACGTTGATTTTATGTTGATCTTACGTTAGGAAACCAAAAGACAGCAACATACGTAAGTCTGACGGCAGTCTGTTTCTTAATGGCTACTAGGGTACCTTCTTTTCTAAGCAAGCAAGATCTGTAAATAGAAGGAGAATAGTAAAGTCTTCGCTTTCGTATTTCATGTTTTATCCCAAAAATGGTGGAAGTAGGAAATAACGTAGTTCAAAAGTCGGTGAAAATGTTAATAAGAGTGAATTTCATATATGTGTTAATATTAACCAGTAGCCAAATCAACGTAAGACTGGCAGCAGACTTACGTATGTTGTCCCCTCCCCCTCCTAAGTAACAGCTCTTGCGAAAACCTTACCCGGTTCATCTACTACTTATTTCATTTTAACAGACCTAATTAGTTATGGAATAACTATAGTTATGGAAAACCAATAATTCAGTGTCCAAAATGCTATTGCTTTGTAATTGTGTGTGGTGACAAATGGTTGAACTGATAACTATTTCTTCCGTTAAATTGATTTATAGATAAGTCCACTTTGGTTGTTGGATATGAAGTTCTCATTTGAGTGACTGGTAATGTACCAAGTTGTTGATACAAATGAAACCTACTGTTATTCGAAGGTTTCGGTTTATCACGATCTCTTATAACATTACTTAATTCACCAGTTTCCAGTGCTTCTTGTAAAATTTTTTCATGTACTCTGTAAATATGGTTGGCTATTGAACCAGGACGTTTAAAGAACTTATTGCAACGACATATTGAACAGCTCATTGGACCATCCATTGAACGTTGTTCATTCCATTTGAATAAAGTGTCAATAGTGAATGGTCCATTTTTAAACTTGCGTATAATGCTTCGGCATTTTTTATTCAAGTCAACCAAATCTTTGTGTTTTTTCTCAGCTTCTTTATTTTTATGCCGTAAATTTGCTAATGGTCGAGACTTGGTTGCCAACAATTTATTGCATGATCGGTAGTACTCTAAAGTATACATTTCTCCAGTTAGCTTATTAATGTCTTCTTCATCAAGCAGTGATACTAATTTGTGGTAAAAGTTCTCGTCCTTTTTCTTGGTTTGATCACATTGGTTCAATAAAAACATCGAACTCCGATAACTCCTACGTTCTCCTGCTGGCTTTAAGTCTCCACTGGTAGCCAAATGAGGTTTTGATGATAAATCTAAAAAGCTTTGATTTGATGAAATTGATGAACACATCGCACTTTTGTTATTAAAGTTAGAAATGTACTGAGTTAGATTTTTTATCTCTACATTTGAGTTGATGTTCTGGTGGGATTGATTGATAATAAATATTTGAGGAAGCTTGTCAGTGAACTGAACATTGTCGGTGTTAATATCGAATGATGCTGATTGGAGGTCATATACCGGATTGTCGATCTGGAAATTATCCTCGGTTGATGATGTCAAGGAATTAGTGAGCGTTTCGTTGCAGTATTGATCAAGTAAGGTTAGAAAGTTGTCATTTACTGCATCCGTTTGTAAAATTTCACTTGTGCTGCTACTGATACCCTGTTTTTTTAAAAAAACAAAAATTCTAGAATAAAATTGCTACAAGTTTAAAATGCGAGAATTTGTTGGTACTTTAATAAAAATATGTGTTGCCGAAAAATGAAAAAATATCATTTTTTTGTTAGATAATTAGAAAGATTTAAAAAAGTAAATTTAGTTTATCAGAAATACAATTAAAAATTCAAAATAACTTATTCAATTATACACTACGGTTTAAGTGGAAAGAAATTTTAATAAAAAAATGTTTCTTAATTTAAAAATAACAAGTGTACCTCAATGTCGATGTTTCCAATCAAATCATCAAATATTTCATCGTAGTCATTGACTTTATCTTGTTCGACATTCGTTTCAGTTGTACTCTCAGCCATGTTTATCAACATCCAATAAAATTAATTGTTCAATCAGATAATTATAATTGATTGAAAATTTTTATTAACACTGTTTTTAAACAAAACAATTTTTATTTGATAAATGAGAGGTATATACAGTTACTTTACGGTTGTTTAAGTGAATAATTAAAGTAAATAAATAACTTTGAAGTATTTGGAATTAACATTTAATATAAGTAGTTAATATTATATGGAAATTGAAACTGATAAAGATGAAACAGGTACTCTAATGATGACTTTCTCAAATCACTATTCCAAATAACGTGACTTAAATATCATAAAAAATTATTAAGAATTCATAACTGATCTTTATCACAAGTACGTGATTTTGTTGCAATTTTAAGTAGGGTTCGAAGTAAGTTTCTATAAAAGTTAACGATAAAAAGAGTATTTACTGATTCTGAATTAGACAAAAATATACTACTTTGTCTTGGTATATAAATGTTAAACTAAGAAAAAAAATGTATTCTCTTCAAAAATGTTTACAACATTTTATTAATTAAATATCACGAAATCATTACTATTTAATTATTTATTTTACTTTCTTGGAAAATTGATTTTTTTTTCGATTTATTATTGACTGATTATTTTTATTATCCAATCATACACTTTTTGTATCATTTTTTATTAGTAATGATGCTTCTCATTGATGTTATAATTTTCAAAATGTCTTTATCTAGATTTTTCGATTAATTTCATTAGACTTCTCGAATTCTTTGATGACGTAAATAAGTCTTCGATTAACAAAATAATTATTTTAATTACTCGAATCTCAAAAATAGTAGGAGAGTGAGAGGTGGGGGATTTTTAAATTACAGTATACCGTAATTATACTTTAAAAATACTTTTTCAATACACAACAATGATCAGATGTTGATTTGTAATTAATAGTTATTTGTTAAGGTTAATGTGAAAGGCGAAGGAATAGTTAAATAAGGCGTTCAATAAAATTTAGAGTACACACGTAACATTAACAAGTGGAATATGTTGATTAATAGAAAATGAAAAGTACAGTTACTAAATAGAATAATAGCTGACCAACAGCTTTCTTGTTTGCAGACCGACTATATCTTTCAGACTAATTCATTACGAAACTGTTGAATTACTCTAAGGACGAGCTTATCACTCATACATTGATACAGAGTATTGATGAGCTTCGCCCCTCTCCAAATTACTTCACATTTGAATTTGACAGTTACTTGGAGTACGAAAACTCAAATATCAACACTTCCGCCGTTTGAGTACTCCAACGATAATTCGCTTGTACCAATATTGTTTCGCAAGCATTCAAACTGATCTCGAGATAGGCACTTTGTTAAGATATCTGCATACTGCAGTTTTGTAGGAACATATTCTACTGAGATTTCTTTATTCTCAACATTTTCTCTTATGTAGTGATATTCCACATCTACGTGTTTCGTACGCTTGTGATACACTAGGTTTTTCACTAATTTTATAGCGCTCTGATTGTCTATAAACAAGATCGTTGCTATTTCACACTGACACCCGAGATTTCTGAGTAACCTTCTAAGCCACACTGCTTCCTTGGCGCTTGCTGCTGCTGCTGCAACGTATTCTGCTCCAGTGGTACTCAACGTCACATGTTTCTGCCCTTGTGATGACCAAGTCACTGCACCATTTGCTAACACAAAAACGTAGCCCGTAGTTGACCTGCGAGTCTCTATATCCCCTACGTAATCGGCATCAGTAAACCCTTTCAGTTGTGTATCACCTTTTCCTATACTATACTCTATCCCTAGCTCGCTCGTACATATTAAATATCTGAATATTCGTTTTACAGCTTGCCAATGACTGTTATCATGATTATTGAGAAATCTACTCACTGCATTTACAGAGTACGCTATGTCCGGGCGTGATACAGTCACCAGGAACATCAAAGAACCAACCGCTTCGCGATATGATACATTGCTATGAACTTTTTCGTCAGCATCAACTGGCATTAAAATTACATTCGGGTCTGCCGGCACACTCACACTCTTATCATCTTTCATACCAAATTTCTCTATTATTCTTTTTACATACCCGAGTCGAAATATTGAACCTCATTTGGACCTTTTTCTCCCCAATAGTTGAGCAGTTAAAAGTATCATAATGGGTCTGAATCCTGTGTAAAATAAGATTCTATTTAAAGCCTAAAAGTGGCATAAATTTCCCTTTTGTCCATCTTTAGGCGCAAAATAGGACCTCAATTTCAATCTCCGTTGAGGATTTACATCCTATTTAGTTACTGATAGTATTATTATAATATATATGCTTTTCGAAAGTAAATTAGTCAAAATCACTAAAAAAATGAATTTTTACTCGTTTGCAATTATAAGTGTACCACTATATGAATTAATGTGATAACTATAATTACAAACTAGTAAAAATTCATTATAACGTAATGGTATACTATAGTAACTAATTTATATCTAAAATGTATCCATGCATATTGATGTAAATTGAAAGGTTATTTATTTACTTACATTAACGCAATGATAATATGGTTAATAATGATAAATATTATTTATATTTTATTTTCTTTGTTCTAACAAATCTTATATTTTTTGTTTTAATTATCATGACGTATAGTCCATAGAATCATATAAGATTTCATGACAGCTCGTGATAAAATTTGATGTATGTTGTCCAGATGATTCGCCGTGTTCATTAGAAACAAAATAATCTATAATACATACAAGTATGAATTAAAACAAATTTTATGAACTGTACAAAATAACAATTGGACAATTCCAAATGGAATCGATTTTTACCATAATTCAAATTTTCATTATATTTCTAATGCTGAAATATGGCCTATTAAGTAAACTATATATTGTATTATGACATTGTGCTAAACTGTGGTTTCTGAGCGCCAGATTTCTTCTGAAAGAACTTAGGATCTCAGTCACCAAAAACTACATATACATATATGTATACATATATAGTGTGTTTTCCAACTATTATTGTATGATTTAAATTATAAAGAAGACATCGGGAATTTCAGAGCTAAAATAATTCTTTTTACAAATTTTACTCAGTGCATTTAAAAATATGTCTTACAAACCAATTGATTCTATTAGCAATAATCAAATATTAATTAACAATACATGGTAAGTATATTCTTAATCACATATCATGTCATTAATATACTAAACAAATCTGCATAACCTTAATGTTAGTTAAAAATGTCACAGTCACAATAATATTTTTTCGTATTTTGTTATTCTATATGGTTCTAAGAGAATATTACATTCTTTGTATTGTGATCAATATAAACAGATTAATAATGTAGATAGGTACTACTTCAAGAATAAGTAAGAAATGAAAAATCAAAAAATCTTTCTTGCCTGTTTAATATGTTAAAGGATAATACTGATATAATTTGTGTCTTTTTTTAAAAATATTATTTTCATCATGTGTGGAGTAATTATAATCATTACTTCATGTATGTTTATGTTTAATAGCAATACGAACGAAATAAGAGAACAGCAACAAGAAGAGGAAGCATTACAATTACAACAACTAAGGGAACTTACTCTAAATGATAATTGCAATAAAGAAAGGTAATTTTTTATTTAAAACATACTGAGCAACTTAAAAAAATTAATGTAATCCTTTTATTATAGTCAGACTATTCATGAACTCAGTCCAGAAATTCTCGAAGAGACTTTTAAGAACTTCTTTACATCGACTCAAGTTCCGAAGAAGACATAATTTATGGGTATGAACTACATGAAGATGAATCTGATGATGAAGTAGAAGGGGAAGATGAAAACAATCAAGATAGACCACAAATTAATTCTACCATAAATGATTGGGATGAACTCTTATATGATCATGCTCAAATTACTGTTAAAGAGAGTATGTTACTTATTCTATCATTACTTTTAAGTCATAACTTAACAATGACATGTATTGCCGATATTATCAAAATATTAGAATTCTACTGCTTACCAGAAAATTTGGAGAAGAATAGTTTGTTCAAATTTAAAAAGTTCTTTGGACTTACTGATGAAGCAGATTTGGTTAAACATTATTACTCCTCTACATGTACTCGAGGCTTGACAAATAATAATGATATATGTCTGGTGTGTCCTCAAACGAAAAATTTTTATTTTGTTCAATTATCGTTGGTCAATCAATTAAATGAAATGTATGCAAGAGTAGGATTTTACGAACGTCTTCAGTTGCGTTTTCGTCGACCAGAGCATGATGGTATTATATCAGATATTTACGATGGACAGTTGTACAGAGCGTGTTATGATAACTTCTTATCAAGCCCTTACAACATCTCATTTACTTGGTACACTGAATGCCACGCTCAGTTCACGATTTATTGTACTGGAAATCATCCAAGTGAAAGATTTTTTTCTTTTACTATTCCATTCCAATATTTGAAGGTGTAATGCGTTAGATTATTTTGAAAATTATTTATTATTAGTCACTGGAGTCGCCATTTTAAGTTTTGATGAAATTACAGAATTACAAATACAAATAGCCGATGATTTATTACATAGATTTGTCAGAGAGTTTCAAGTCATGTATGGTATCCAATTTTATTCACTTAACATACACTTATTATTACATCTATCGAACTGTGTGCGAGTTTTAGGTCCTTTATAGGTTTATCAATGCTATGAATATGAAGATCTAAACAGATAGCTATTACAATTGATACATGGTACATGGCATATCGATACGCAAATTGCAACGTCTCAAAGCCAATTTATTAGAATGGTTAAATTAATGGAAGAATTACCACATGGCCCAATTCGTAGTTTTTGTATGATGAGAAAAAAACAAGTTAAAATAATAGAAAAAATTTCTAAACATTGTTATAGCGTTGGTACTTACAAGCATTTGGAGGAAATTCCAGACTTTATAATAAATGCAATGCGAAATAGTAACATATTGTTTCATAGCGCTCAAATTTTGTATTATAACAGGCTTTTAAAAAATGATAAACTATATGTTTCTGCAATGTACACCAGAGCATTACAAACAAACTCTTCATTTATACAGTATTCAGAAAATGGCCAAAATAAAATCGAAATAATCTATTGTTTTGTAAAACTTTCTCACTGTAGATGCAGGCTTAGAATACGTAACTGTTTGCATCAACACTATTCTATTATACAAGAATTTCATTGTGATAATGTTTTTGTTGTGAATGGTAATCATCACTCATTTAATAATTCTAAATTTTCAACTAATTGTCATGAAACTAACAATATTAAGGCTATTCCTGTAGATGCCATCATTATGAACGGTATATATATGAATTTTGACGGTCAAATGTACGTTTCATTACCTATTAATAAAAAAAAGCTAGAATAAACAAAAAATGACTGTTTTTGAAATATTTATCCAGTAGTTACATTTACGTAACTATACATGTCTTATTAATTAGGTATTTAAAAAAATTAAAGTTCTTTATGCAATATTAAATATATATTGATTATAAAAATTATTATTTAACCTATCTTTATGATAAAGGCTTTGGGGACAAGTAAATAGGAGCATAATTTTACTGAGAAGGAGTTAAAGGTTCAAATAAGCAGCTGTAGTATTAAAAAGTATCATGTTAGGTTTAAATAGGAGTAAATATCATGAAAAGAGGTTCAATATTTCGACTCGGGTAGGCATTCTGATGAATAAATACACTGTGTGTTTTCTGATTTCGCTCGACTTGTAAACCAGCCAAACTTCTTGTATCATCTAGTGTGATTTCAAATGACTGTCGAAGCGATTCAATCATTGGAGCTTGTTTTAACCCATACAACGACTTTTGCAATTTACACACTGTCACTGGAACCTCCATGAAAATTTCTTCTTTCAACTCACCGTAGAGAAACGCCGTCTTGACATCGAGCTGGATCATCTCCAAATCATGTACTGCCACTAGAGCGAGTAGAACTCTCAGGGAGTCGTATCTTATGACTGGAGAGAACGTCTCTGTATAATCAAGACCCTTTTCTTGAAGAAATCCTCTCGCACACAATCGTGCTTTGTATCGATGAATATTGCCCGCTGTATCTTGAATAACCTTGAAGACCCATTTTGAGTCTATGGGCTTCCTCTTATCACTTCTTGGTACTAATACCCAGGTCTGATTTTTCTTTTGTGCTTCTAATTCATCCTGAATTGCCTCTCTTCAGTTGCTGGCTTCTGGACCATTTACAGCTTCCTGATACGTTGCAGGTACATTGTACTCTGCCAGATCAATCTCGAATCTTTTTGGGGGTTGAATCGTTGCTCTATTTCTTAATCGTGAAAGAATGTTTTCATTTTGGGTTTCCGGTTGAGTTTGAGCCTCATTTCTCGTTTGTATTTGACTAGGTCCTTCTTCTGTCTCTCTTTTCTCAACTCACCGGTGTTGTCACTTCTTCTTCATGTTTGCTTTTCAGCATTGTGTCGTCACTATTGCGGTTGTTCAGTATTAGTGACCCATTAGATACATCCTCGTGGAACCCTTAGTGTCTAGTTACCGACACACGTCTCGTACTTGGATCATACACTCTGTAGTTTGAGGAATCGGCTTCATAGCCAACAAAAATTACTTTCTCTGCCTTCGGATCAAACTTCCGTCGGAACTGCTTTGGTATATGCATGAATGCTTCTGAACTAAAAACCCTTAAATGTGAGACTTTTATCTCCTTCCCCGTCCAAGCTTCGTATGGTGTCTTATCTGGATGTACCGAAGAGGTTGTCCTGTTGAGAACATAGACTGTCGTGTTCACTGCTTCCGTCCAAAATGCAAGCGACATATTTTTGGCATGAATCATTGCTCGAACACGTTTAACTATTGTCCATTTTGTTGGGGTATGTAAGGAACAGTGTTCTCCATCTTTATTCCTTTGACTTTCAGGTACCGTTTCATCTCTCAATTGCAGTATTCTCTGCCATTATCACATCTCAAGATTTTTATTGACCGTCCAAACTTATTGGTCAACATATTATTGTACTCTTTGAATTTCTCAAAGACATCTGACTTATGCTTCAGAAAGTATACGTGTCGAAACCCAGTAAAATCATCCTTAAGTGTTAGGAAAAAGCGCGCGCCTGCCAGTGACGGTGTTGACATCGGTCCACAAACATCTGAATGTATATATTCACCAGGCTTGAAAGGAACTCGTTTGCTTTGTTTGTTGAACGGCAAATGGTGAGCTTTGCCTCGTTGACAGGCTTCACAAAAGAAATTGCCTGTGCTCGTTTCTTTTAATCTCCGAATTAGCCCCTTTTTCGCCATCTCACACACTCTCTGCACATTCACATGTCCTAATCTCTCGTGCCACGTACGCAAAACTGTAGTGGACACATTGACTTCACATACACCGTTTCTTGCAGGCCTAACTTTAAAGATCATTCTACACCTTTCATTACTTTGTTTCACTCCTAAGGCCATGATGTCATTATCTCGTATGATTGCAACTCGATTGTCTGTAAAAGAAACATTGAAACCTTTCTTGGTACACATACCCACTGAAAATAAATTTTTCCTGAGACTAGAAACATACAGAACACCTTCTACTCGACCTTCACACCACAGTGCCACTACCTTCGACTTTACACACACCATTGTCACCAAGCACGATACTGCTACCGTCATTACACGAGTAAAATTCACTAAACCACTCTTTTTTAAAGGTAATTTGTCTTGAGGCACCACTATCAGTTATCCAAACATCAGTTGTTTTGGCGTTTAGAATTTGATTCACCTCTGTATTGAATAACGGAGAGATTCTTCCATTGACGATGACAGAATGAACATAACTTTGGCATTTTCTTTCTTCCATTTGCTCGCAGCACCTAGACCTGTCGGAGCATCATTTCCAACCAACACTGGTCATTTCCTTTCTTCAGTTACAACATCCAATATTCCACACGCTACAAACACTTGAGTCATTTGAAACTTCCAGGCTTGGAAATTCGTCCCGTTAAGTTTGGTGACTTGTTTTACTGATTTTCCTGAAAGAGTGATTTGCATTCAACAAACAAGATATATGCTTGAAAAATTATTTAGCACTTCATTACTTTATCTAAGATTGATCAATAGAAACTTTTCATTTTTATTTACGAAGACTTGATATATGTATAAGCAAAAAATATTTAACCGCCTCTTTTGAAAATAAAATTTCTAGTAGGAAGCAAAATTGGCCCAAAGTTCGGCCGAGTTTGATTTGATTGCTTCAATGATGGACTCACAGTCATTAATGACTAATTAGATTAATTTAGTGGTGGTCTTGGAGTGATTTTATTGGTATATTTTTAGACCAAAACTGATTTGATTGGCTCATCAGTGGGCCCAATTTTACTTCTTATTAAAAATCTGAATTTGTTACTATTTAGTGAATTATTCGTAATTATTTAAGCTAAAAAATATTTTTAGCTAAAAAAAAATTTATAAAGTTTATTGAAAAACCCAAAAATCATAAAATAAAAATTTTAAATTAAAATTCAATCTCAACAAATTGCATATATTTTTTTAACTAATAAACTTAATTATTAAATAAAAATAACCCAATTGAAAACCATAATGGCAAACAACACATTTAAAAGATTTACATCTGATAAAAGCCGTCATTGTTATGAGTTTGCGCAGAATAACTACATAATATAGATCCAAAACAGTCGAGCTCAACGCACAAAGATTAACCATGACTAGTGTATTCATTCTAAATACTTTTCTTTAAATAAACAAATAAAAATTGATGTAAATTTAACTTAAAACTATTGAATTGTTGATAACATAGTAAGCTAACAATGTCGGAAGATTATTTACATGCTTGTCAACGAGCAGAATTGTTAGGAGAACCAAAACCCAGTGAAGAAGAATGGCTTGCCTCAAAAAAATCTGATAATGATGATGAAATGAATGAAGCTGACGAGGAAGTTATTCAGGGAAATATATATTCTTGTGATAATAAATAATAATGATTATTTGTTAGACACATAATAAATATATGTAAAATTTGTTGTTGTTTTTTAGGGGTTAGGACAATCAGATAATGGTATGCGACGGATTGGGGGTGGTTTAGAGGAACTGAATAGTATTTTAAGTGTCACACAGAAGAAAATTAACAGATTCAAGGTATGTATAATATATTTAAGGATATTTTCTATTTATTAAAATTACTTGTCTCGTTTTTCCTGTCTAAAATTTATTTTATTAACAAATAAAGCAAATTTAAAAATTATGGGCTGACTAGACAAATGAATAGACACCACCTAAAAGAAAATTTTATGTCCATCTTTTCTTTTTGACTTTATTGCCCATCTACTGGTATATTTACTGTAATATTCCTTATTGAACAAATCTTTTTTTTTAATCCAAAAACTAAATGACTCTTGTAGTGTTTTTGATGATATTTAAAATAGAGCAGAAAGTAGGATCATGGTCCATTTGTTTATTTTGCGGGCACACTATGTCTTCCATCAACTAACCCTTGAATATTTTGGGAAATAACTTTAAATGTTGTCAATGAACAGAAAATTCGAGAAGTAAAATATAATTCAGTAAAAACAAAAAGTAATCCATAACCCTTCTCTTCGAGAAGTTATTATTAATTTATTATTGGGATGTTTCATAAATAATAAACACAATGACTGAATTTTTTATATATAAAAATGAAGATTGGTTCTATCAAGCTTTTCGAAAATTGGCTGATAAATAAAATAAGATCATATACAATGCAAAACATCAAAGATTATGGTCTGAATACCAAAATACTTTGTTTCTTCATTTAATTTTTATTGAATACTTTTTTTCCCCAATTGACATCATTTATTATTATTATTATAAATTATTATATTTTTAATTATTTTCATTTGTTCATATTATTCTAATTAATAAAAATTTTAAGAACTAATGGAAGAAGATTTTTGTCATATTACAATAAAATATATCAAAGCTAGCAGTTTTTTTTTAAATGAGCTGGATTTAAATGACTTAATTTTGCTCGTAAAATTTAATTCCTTTATCATAATCCTATTCTTTTCAACCTCAAGGTTGCCCGGTTATGTCATTAAGTACAGATTATTTCCTCTTCTTAGATGACATGTTAATTTTTCTTTATCCAACAGAATGTCTGTGGTAGTTTGGGTCAGCTACTCAAAGGAAGAATAACCCCAAGGTCTGGTATACCAGACCCAAATCAGCAAGAATCTGATCCTGACGGCAATGATGTTGGACCAAATGAGCCTTCTGATGAATCAACGATCTTAGAGACAACGAATGATCAAGTAGACATTAATCAAGATCAGAATATTGATGAATCTAAAACAATATCCTCAGCAAAAAAGCAAGAAATAAATCACAAAATTGGATCTCATATTGATAAGTTAGATTCTCTGATTACTAAAGCTGAAAATGCTCAATATAGTATGCAGCATCAGACAAAACAGATGAAGAAAATTATCAAGAAATAATTTAATTATGTGTTAATCAATTATTGTTGTTGATTATTTTGAAATTTTAAATAATTATAAGCTTCTATTTATAATTATTTGTTATATTAGTGTATTTAATCCAGTCAATATGTTTTAAATAAGGCTGTTTTTTTAAGCATATGACTGGATTATATTTACAAAATATTCACTTACGAACAATGAAAAAAAAAATAATCTAAATATTTTCAAGATAATCATTATGTTATTATTGATATATTTAGTAATATTAATGAATATGATCATTACAATGATAATAAACAATATCAGCAAAATGTGATTATAATATTAATAATAATAAACGAAAAACTTTGTTTCTTATGTAATATTATAAATGTGAATTATAAAAATATTTATGAACATTTAGAATTTTCATTTACTTTCAAAAATTTTAATTTAATAATTCATACTTATTTTTTTTGATTTTTTATTATAAATAATTATTATTAGTTAAAAATATCATCCACTTAGTCTTTTATCAATAAAATTATGTTTGTCTAGTCATCAGGGTTATCTATCAATGCATCGTCTGGCTCTCTGTATATCTCTAAATAACGGCTGTAGACAACTATGTAGTAATACGCAGAAAATGCTAGAATCAAAATGAAAAATTATAAAAAATTAATTTAGTTGAGATTCTTTAGCTTCTAAAACATTTTTAGGTCTGATGAGATGTAATCGAATGAAGGTAGTTTGAATTTGAAGATGCATGTGTCTTTAAACGATAGTCTCCTAGATTAGATTTCTAGTCTTATAGAGTCTAATATTAGAGTTGAAAAATCAACAAACATGTGTTGGATTCTCAATCTATTTATTTATTTTATCCTTATAAGGATAAATATATAATATTTATCCTTATAAGGATAATATATAATATATATATATATATATATATATATATTAATTGTCATATACCTTGCCTCTTTACTTACATATATTTTAAAGATTTATAATTTAGAAAGCTAAGATTTCACTTTAAGGAAAAACTCTCTTTCGTCATACCTGCGTGGAAAGTTTACTTTTTCATTAGAGAAGGGTTGAACTTTCCACGCAGGTATGACGAAAAATCATATTCAGCCCTAAGAAAAACAATTAGACTAGCTTAAACCACGTGTTTACTGCTCTCCCCTTCTTTTATCCTCTATTTTCAGGCTAGAAAGCAACAATATAATAAACCTAGTATGTTTACCATAACAACACAATAGGCCTTCATAGATTACCGTAAATCGGGGCTTCTTTGACAAGTTTTATTTTGCGATTCTGGGGATTTTTGTCAACCGATTTTGAAGGTAGATTCCCAGATTCAAGATATACTATTGACATATTTTTGATTGACTCCAAAAGCCAAAGAAGTTTGTGCACTACAAGGTAATGAAAACTGTTAATGTAGCCCCGATTGACGGTACTGTAAATTGCATTATCTTATTTAAAGAAATTTTATCAAAAGACTTTAGCAAGCATGACAGCTGTCATATAAGAAATTACTTTCAAAAATAACTTAACAAATGATGATTAATATTTGAAAGATAGATTATAAAGTATTTGCAATAATTATAAATAATAATCATTTCCGATATTACCTTCGAGAGTTATTTAAAGACATACATCAGTCATTGCATAGATCTAGACCGGAGATGGGAAAACTTTGACATTCACAAAGCACTCGAAAAAGGTCTGCCTAATACCTCTCTCATTCTCACTCATAGGAGCAATGGCTCTAAAAATTATACCTAGGGAGCTATTTTGGCTCTGAAGAGACGCTCTTGCTCACCTCTGGTCTAAACGTATTACGGTGCAACATAGAAATGGCTTTCTCTATGAATGGAAATAATGTATATTGTTAACCAAGGAAATAAAGGAAAGTATCTTTACCGGAGATAAGAAAGAATGTTTTCAACATCTTTAATAATACATATAATTGTATGGATACGTATTTTAGTTTGATCAACATATTAATAGAGTAATAATGAAAGCAACCGCCTAAGATTTATAAAAAATTGGAAATCTGAAATAATGAGTTGTTGTGGGAAGAAAAAAATTGTACCTCCGATCAAACGACTTACATAAACCTGGAACTTGGCAGATATGTTCTTTACATATGCAAGAACCTCATTATAGCAAGAAAATGGATCTCTCTATTGCAATATTTTAATATGGTATTCATAAAAATAACGGTGGTGATATGTAAAAGTTAGAATAAAAACATTGTTATTGATAACTGATCTAGTTATTGTTTAGATTATTGAACAAGTGATACAGGTACTAAAAAAAGAAATTATGAAAGTGAGTCAGGAGGATGAAAGATGTCGGAAAGTATCAACAACTTGGTTGATTTAAGTCTTTCATCATATCTAAAAATATATTCTTCAGATGATCACCATATTAATTGAATTACCAATTGCCAAGTTTCCCAAGATTAAAGCCATGCAACCGATGTCTGTGGAGTCTTTGAACAGCTTGTAAGTTCCATACCAAATGGTTAAAGTTGTGATATGGAAATCAATTATATTAAACGCCAAAAAAGGTTGCATCCACTTGTGTCTTTCCTAAAATGATAAAAAAAAGTCGAATAAAAATTATTTATTTTTCTACATTATTGAAATTATTGTTCACTAGAACTTGAAAAAATTTTCTTGATAAATATGAGAAAACTTACCATTGTTGAACCAAAAATGAGCAAAAGTGTGGTAATGAAGCTAATCGACATAGTAACATAGATGAATATCAAAAAAGTTGATGATTCATCATTTGTAGTCCATGCATGAGTGTGATGAATTAAACATGATATTCCTTTATCTAAAAACTATCAATAACTTTGTTAACTGATCATTAATCACATATGATTAATTAACATTCATGTCTAAGTAATTGCTTTTAACTTCATTTTAATTTTAAACTTTGAAATCAATTGAGAAATTGGTGGTTAAAGTAGAACATTGAAGAGTTAAGGAACAAATCTAAAAAATATTTCTGAACTCCGATAGACTCATATATAGAAAAATGAATAAAGAAAAAAAAATAGTTTTTTAAGCTTATATTAATAATGAATGAATTATTCTGAATGTTCTCCTTCACCCTTTTCATTGTTATCAGGGTTGTTGTTAATAATAAATTATTGTGTATTGTAATAAACTTACTGAGTAAAAAATTCCACCAAAAGTTGTGGCAGTTTTTAAACTTGCACAAAAACAAAATCGACTGACTGTAGGCATTGCCATTGTTGAATATACTTAATAAGATTCTCACTTGCTAGTTGATAATAATCATTTATAATAAAAGAAGCTTCAATTTGTTTAATATCTTTACTTTTATTTAAAATTGTTATCCATTAATTCACATTTTATTTTGTGATCCAAAAAAGCATTGATCATCACACATAACTTTCTTCAACTATTTCTTTCAGTTCTTACTTCGTAATACAGAGTATTGAATGTTTTGAAATGGTTTATCATCATGAAGTGTGATAAAAAACCGTTTATGTTTTAGAAGCCATAACATTTCTAAGAAGGTGCTCTGTTTCAAGATGTCAAGTATACTGTGGCTACAATGAGATCAAATGAATACATTCATCTAATTATGTTAGAAAATTTGATGTTCAGGTTTTAGAGTTTAGCGTATATTAGTATCTTGTATAATAAGTATTAAAAGAAAATTCTGAATTTTTCACATACAATCAACAGTTTTTGGAAACCTTATGAATAATTGTAATATTGAGTTGTACCTCAATGTTATAATCATTCATAAGGTTTCCAAAAATAGAGATGGACATCGGCTTATGGGTTACTTGTTATGATAAAAAATGAAAATAATGATAGATACCATAACTTTGGTAAATATAAAATACCTATATCTGGAATGTAAATGCTTTATATTATAAGATGGCAAATGTTGAAATATGTACCAAATTGATTCATTACTCCATTTCAACATATAATATTATAATTCTTAGCACTTTCATGCATGTACAAATGATCTTTGTGGGTACCAGTTTATGAAGGGATACGTTTTGGGCTAAGTTGATATTGTCTTTTTAAAAATGTTTCTATTGTTTTTCAAACAAAAAAGAAAATATAGTCCTTAGTCCAGAAATGGGCAAACGTGGCCCTTCAGAGCCAATGTGGCTCTCCAGGTATAATTTTAAAAAATACAATTAATAATAATAAAATGAGAATTTGTATTTTATTTCGATGAATTAAATAATATTATCTGATTTAACTTAAAATCATACAATTTCAGTTAACTCATCATTCTTCAAACATTTGATTATTTTTTGAGGTTAACAGATTACTTTTGTCCAGGAACAGATTAAATACATCAGTAATTTTTCTTGTTTAAATTACCTTTAGAATAAAGAAAAAGGGTTAGTTATAACAATTATAAGACAAGTACACATATGATATTAAAATCTAGAAATAAAATTTTTTTAAGAAGTTTCGATTACTATAAACATGATTGCTGAAATTCTAATAACTAAATTATATTTTTAATGTTGTCATTCTTGGAAAAAATTTTAAACGGATTCAATTAATTTTAGGACAAAGTGAAACACTCGAGAAAATTCACTAATTTATTATTATATGGTTGAAGATACTTGTTGCATCTTTTGTTTATTAATTTTTAAATTTATTAATGCATTAAAAATTATCAACATTTGTTAATATAATGGTTAAATTGTTGATTTACATTTTTTCTTAATGTTCCACTTTACCTCACCTATTAGAGTAGAATAACAAAAAAATTCTTCTCAATTGTATTATAATGGCAAAAAAGTGTATATTTTGAATTTGTTTAAGATCATATTTTTTTATCACACAAGCATAGATATTCTATTGATAGTAAATAAATGATTAATGCAATTAATTCATTGATAATAGTATTTAATTTTCAAATGAAAGTACTAAAGAGATAGTTAAGTAGTGACTGCTCCTGAAAGTAAATATTTAAATTTTTGAAGAAGGCATGCTCGGAAAAATTAAATTTTTTAATACCCCCCGGGAAAAAATAAAATAGATCTACATTGATCAACGTAGATCTATTTTTTGGCACAATTAGATCTACTTTATTCTGTGTACATCTGTTTTAATCATTTTAGATCTTCTGTGATCTCTGCAGATATATTAAATTTTTTTTATCATCGAGATCAACGGAGATCTCCATAGACATACAGTAATTTGTGTAGATACCAAGTGATCTTATAAGATATACATAGATTTTACTTAGATCAAATTTATTTTTAAATTTATTATTTATTTATTTATTTATTTTATTTTTTCCCGGGTAATCAACTCAGCATAGATCACTTGGGTACCAGACAACCGTCTAAATGCTACGTTATTGCATACAGTAAAAGCATGAAAATTAAAAATTTTTTGATTTATTGGAGTAGCTCTTTATCAGGAGACACGTTTACTTTAGTATACTAACTGACAGAAACAATGTGATAGCCAGAAGTATACTAGCGGCAAAGACAGAATATACTCAATTTAAGGCTGAGCTGAAGTCAGAAAGTTTCCCGGAGTTGACTTTACGCCCTCGTGTTGTGCGGCAAAAGGCCGAAGCTTGACATCAACTGAAATTGAGTAGGTAACAGGGAAATCGTTCGAAAAATGATAATTTTCAGGGATGCACTACAAAAAAGGAGCCTTAGGGCACCAAGAAATTTACAAATTTTTGAATAATCTGTTTCGAGCAAGACAGAGCACAGAATATATCTATCTATCTCCGTCTTATTTTTCAGAGAAGACTGCGAGTTCGAACAGTTGACGAGCAAGCACATCCCCCACCCTCTGTTACCGAGCCTGAAGCTTATGATATCTAAACGTAAACAAAGCAAATGAAAATATGCTGGCTCTGTAGTCAGAAGATTCGACATTTATTTTACCGAACGGTGTTCGATTCCAATTGCGGCAAAATTGTTTTTTTATTTAAATTGCATGTAATTGCAATTTTATCATGCCAAAAATGAGTTTTAAATTTCAATTTTTATGTAAAATTATTTTTCAATCAATCGATGACAAATGAGACAATATTTGAACAGGTTCATTAACCTTTTTTTGTACAAATACATTGATAATAGCCTTTTTAACAACTTATTAACAATAAAAAATAGTTTAAACACTTCGCGGCGAGTTCCGACACTTCACCGGCAAGCTCTATCCCCACTCTCTGTGCCCAAGCCTGCAGCTTATAATTTTCAAGCATCTTCACTATTATTGAAACCATAATAGCTCAGTGGTTAGAGCATCAATCTTTTATTTTGCTGGGCAGGGTTCGATCCCAGTCATAGGCAATTGTTTTTTCTTTTTTTTGCTTAAGTGACTTTATATACTTATAAATTAATTCATATATTTGATTAAATTATTCTTCCAATTAATTACGGAAAACAACTTGTTTTTCTGAAAATAAGCTGAGGGTGAGGAACGAGTTACTATGAATTCTCTTTTTTCGAAAGTGTTGTCTTTAAAAGACAATAGGAATTGATTTTGAACTTATATAAACAACCAATTATTGTATTTATATAAAATTTTAATGAAAAAAAAAGGAAGAAAAAATTGGCTATGACTGGGATCGAACCCTAATCGGTAAAATGAAAGCTTGGTGGTCTACTCACAGAGCTAACACATCATCTCTGACATTATGTTTATGTTTATAAATTGTATAATGCAGGCTTGAGTACGAAGGGTAGGGATAGAGTTTGCCGGCGAAGTGCCGGAAATCCCCGTGGATTATTTCAACTACTTCTAAATATTTCTAAATTGCTTAAAAAAAAGCTACGTTCATATAGCTATAGTAAAAAAAGTGTTTATAACCCTGTTCATATGTTTTCCGACTCGGCGTCGATAAATTACATAAATAATTGAGAAAAAAAAATCAAATCGTTGTAAACAATTACTTTTGGCATGTTAATATTATAATTACATGCAAATCTAACAAATAAAAGAGAAAAAAAAACTCTATCATGACTGGAATCGAACCCTGCCTAGCAAAATAAAAGACCGATGCTGTAACCACTGAGCTGTTATGGTTCCAATACGCTTATATATGCTTAAAAATTATAAGCTGCAGGCTTGAGCACAGAGAGTGGGGGTAGAGCTTGCCGGGAAAGTGCCGAAACTCGCTACAGATTGTTTGAGGAAGTCGGGTGACAGCTACGTGATTTGTTGAATGTTTAGAATTTTTTTGATTAGTCATCCATATTATTATTTTTAAAAATAAAATTTTCGATTTATATTAACATTTATCGTGTTTAATTATTGATTTTTATTGATTATATTATGGTAAAATATTTTATATTCGTTACTTGAGTAACGTATTAAAATATTGTGAGAAATGTTTGGCAACGTTGCATAATTCTCGATGGTCAGCGGATTACACATAAATCTCTACAATTATTAAGAGTGATTATCTGATTATGTGTGAGAATAATTATCGAGATAAAGATGGTCGTTTTTGCAAAAGTAATAAAAGAAAATGGAGAGAAAATATTGCAGCAGCAAATTCTAAGCGTCAAAAAATGAATAAAAAATATTTTGAAGGAGGAAGAGTGATTGACATTGTTAGGTTAGGTGAAGACATGTGGTGCAATGCGTGTCATATTCCTCTTTCGATGCAATTCATTAAAGAAGAATGTTTAAGAGGATTAGCTAGTGTCTTTAGAATAAAATGTTTCAAATGTGACATAATTTATTCAGTGAAAACTTCAAAACAAGACAGTGATGATGGTACCTATCACATAAACGGATTGCTCGCTTTAGGTAGGTTGAATTATTGTTTTAATAATAATCGTTATTGGCATCGAAACTTTAAAGTTCCATACAGCCGTAATGATTGTTTTATACTTGTCATTTGAGTTTACAATGACAATTCTGTTTACTGAATGAACCATATGATTTTGGAGCCAATAAATTTTTTTTTTTTTTTTAGCAATTTACGATGCTGGTATTGGATTAGCTGAAATAAATCAAATTTTAACTATTTTAAATATTCCACCAGTTCATCAACAACTATTAAAACGAAATGAGAGGAGAGTTGGAATAGCCATAGAGAAAGTAGCAAAAGCAAGTTGTATTGAAGCTTTGAAATTAGAAAAGGCCATGACAATACAAGACAGGTTCTGAATATTTATTTAAAAATATCAATTACTGTGTGTTTAAATTAATAAGTTGTTGATTAACCCTAACGCTGTAGAAATTAATACTAAGCTTGATGTGACTAACAAAATGGTGTGGTGAATCCATTACAACAAATTAATTGCAATTAATGAAAATTGTAGTGTAGAATACAATTTATGCATAGATGTTTAAAATATTGTAGTTTCGAGATTCATCAATTGAGATATCAAAAAATCTCTTTATGAATAGCATTTAAATCATATTCATACTTTTCTGAGCAGAAATAATCATCAATAGAAAAATGAAAATGATTTATTAAGGCTTTTTATACATAGATTTTTTCGATTCAGCATTTAGAATTTGTACTAAAGTTTGATTCCGTAAGTATCACTGGTAACAGTGTAGACATCGAAATATATCTAAAATGACAGAATATACATAATAATATTTATTGTAGATTAAATCATGAGGAATCAACACTAATTATTGACTTGGATGGTGGAAGAACTAATGACGAAGACACTAATTGTATCATTGACATTAACAATGATAAGGAGATAAGCGATGATATTAAAAATAATAATAAAATAACTTATAATACAGAAATTAACAATAACGACGAGATAAATAATAAATTCAAAAATAACAATAAAATAACATTTAATATGGAAATAAACAATAACAAAGAAATAATTGATATCGAAGAAATTAACAATAACAAAATAATTATTAATAACGAACAAATCAACAGTAATAACAGCGATATTATTAATAATAAAGAAAACAGCAAACATGTAAATCCTGACATTATCTCTTTTAGTGAAATATCTGAAGGCAGAAGAAAAAATAAGAGTGAAGAGAAGAAGCCAAAATTGAAACAGTGGAGAGTTTTAAAGAAAAACGTAGAACTGAAAGAATCAAAATTAAAATCAAAAATAGAATTATTTGATTTACCAAAAACATGCGATGCTCGCAAGGCTCTTGAAATGTAAGTTTATATTTTTTTACGTTATCATTTCATTTTTTCCGGTTGTCTAAACATACTTGTCATTTTTTGAATAGGTTAGATGTAAATACGCTTGCTACAAATGGAGAAGTTGGCTGTGCTTTTGGTTTGGATGCAGGTTGGCAGAAAAGCGGGCGTGCCCATAATAGTCGCACAGGTATTAAGTTAATATTTTTATCATGTATTTATTAGTGATAATGATTCATTTACAGGTCATTGCACTGCTATTGGTCGTAATTCCAATTTATATGTTAGTTATGACGTTTGTACAACCGAATGCCGACTATGTGCACGTGGTGTTTCTAGAGATCAGCATGACTGCCGGGTTAATCATTCCGGAAGTGCCAAATCAATGGAACCAGCGATGGCTGAAAGAATGCTAATTGAAAATCTTGATTTTCAAGTCGAGGGTGTAAAAACTACTATTTTCATTGGAGATGATGATTCGTCTACTATAGGATGTTTGAGGAGGAAATCAAATCATCCTTTTACTAAATTATGTGATAAAAATCATGCTATCACTAAAGTTACGTCAGCTCTTTATGGGCTTAAATTACCAACTATGGTCATCGATTATTTAAAATATCTTTTCAAATGTGCCATTGAAAACAATAATGGTGACGTGGAAGTAACTCGAAAAGCTATCTTAACTATAGTTCCTCATTCTTTTGGAGATCATCTGGAGTGTGGAGCATGGTGTAAATATAAAGATAATCCTGAGAAATATCAACATAATAGACTCCCTAAGGGCAAACCTTTGACTGGTGAACAATTGAAGGCATCGCTGACTTCTCTTTTTAAACGACAAGCTGCAAAAGCCGAAGAATTAGCACCCGGTGCATCAACGCAAGCGAATGAATCTCTTAATCAAATGATTGCAAGACATCATCCAAAAAATAAATTTTATGGAGCATCATCTTCAATTCATGCTCGCATTGGCGCTGCTATTTCTCAGAAAAATATTGGAACTACTTATGTTGATGTGGTTAAAAAAGAGCTTTCATATTCTCCTTCGACAACAAGAGCAAAAAAATATAGAAGCTCACTTGATGAACGAAGGAAAAATCATGCAATCACTTCTCAAAGTACTGTTGGAAAAAACGGAGACGTGCATTATTTGAAGAACGTCGTAAAAAAAATAATGTCATTGAAAGAAAGGAAGGTATTTCCTACCAGTCCAATTGTGGAGTAGATATTGGTGTAAACTTTATTGATAAACCTATGGTTTTAGAAAACAAATTAATAATTACAGAGAAGCCACAACTCGTGTATTTAGATATTGAGAGTACAGGATTTGTAGGAAGTGAAATAATTCAAATCGCAGTTAAATGTAACAGTGATGAATTTAGCGCATATATTATGCCATCAAAAAATATTCCTCCTCACATCACAGACTTGACTGGCATCAAATTATACAACGGGACATTGGTAGTAGATTCTTCACCAGTTTTAACTCTCTCACCTCGACAAGCAGCCAATGAGTTTTTATCATATTTAAAAAATTTTGGTGAAAATATTATATTAGCCGCACACAACTGTTTTACATTTGATGGACCGATGATTTTACAATTCATGCAAGAAGTAGATGTAATAGATGAATTTTCATTAATCGTGAAAGGTTTTACTGATACATTACCTGTGATGAAGAAGCATTTGAAAGATCGAACTAAAGCTAAAAAAAGATTCAAAAGAAAAAGATGAAAACGGAAAATTGTCAAAAACCGAAGGAGTTTCTGCAGGTATGATTTCTAAGATGGTACAGGCAGGAATTACCATAGAACATTTAAAAGAAACTTTTATTAATTTTGGGAAAGAAGGAATAAAATTACTACTTGGACAAAATGTTGGAAGTCAAGCACGAGTGACAACAACAGGAAGAATTATTGATGCCATTGTAATAAGATTACAAAAAATTTGTATTATTAAATAAGAAATAAATAAGATGAAATGAAAAAAAAAATTCTAACATTATTTTTAACAAACCAAATATAAAGTTCTTTATTTTCTTTTTAATCTAACCTACAATAATTTTAACTTATAAAAATCCACTCATGTGGACTAATTCAAGTTTCGCGGGTGTGCAACGTTGCCATATCACGCGCATCATATTTTTCTATTTGCTACATCAGCCATTTTTAAGAACTCGAAGGTATTTTACACGTTAAATTTTTATATTTTCTTCGTTATTTCAACGATGCGGCTCCTGTTCGAACATGTAGATGCGTTCAAAATCGTTTTGTGAACCTAGAAACTAGTTTTTTATCTTATAATATTGGGAATCCTTGATAAAAAAAATCAAAAACTTTTGACAGCAGAGGATTCTTCTACACTGTCAATGTTCGTAAATGGGAAAAAAAAATTTTTTAAAAATTAATATCTCTGTATCTAGACCGCAGTGAAAATTTTCCTTTCGACAACTAACGCATCATAGGCTTCTTTACTTAAATAAAAATTTTCATCATTTCATCTTGGAACAAGTGTTATCACCCGACTACCTTAAACTACTTTTCAATGTTAATAATAATATGATTAACTTGTTAATAACATAACATTGTTAATACATGTAAAGATGTATAAGTTGTTAAACACAGGCTATTATCAATGTATTTATACAAAAAAAAAGTTTATGGCTCTGTTCAAATATTTTCCGACTTAGTGTCAATAAATTCAATGAGTAAAGAGAAAAAAAAATCAAATCATTATAATGGATTAATTATGGCATGTCAATATTATAATTACATGCTAATCTAACGAATAAAGTAGAAAAAAAAGTGATTATGACTGGGATCGAACCCTGCCCGGCAAAATAGAACTCTGACGCTCTAACCACATGGCCAGCATAATCTCGATATTGAGTTTATGTGTATTTGTTTTTATACTACATGCTTGGATACGCCGACTTGGAATTGAGCTTCCTTATTAACATTTATACCTAATAAAAATGATAATAATGGATGAATATATGTATTTGAAGTTATTTGCAGGTATTATATTAATTAATGTTAAATGAGTATCATCATTTTCATTTATTCTAACTGCAATAGTCATCAAAGTATAAGGCATTGTAAAGCGATACACTATGTTTACATCACATACATATATTACCCGTACACACTCATACACAAATTACTCACCAAAATGCAGGGCACCATCAGTTCTGGATACGGATTGCGCATTTTTTCAATATGGATGACTGAGGTCATCTGCGAGCATAATGCTGTCACCTATCAGAATTCTTTTAAACTAATTTTCCGGAGAATATCATCTGGAATACAATATTTCTAATTATTTCTAAATTATTCAATTTTATACTATAAATTGATTTTTTTGACATTCAGATAGGTAGCAAGGACTGACGCAAACACGAATTTTGGGCGAAAAACGTATAAAAATAAAATAATTAGTGATTTTTCATCTGAATGATGTGGCCGTCATCTTGGAATTTAAGCGCGGCAAGTCAATTCATAATTTGTTCATTATTCTTTCTAATTTTTTTAATAAAAATATTCACTACATACAAAAAATTGTTGTTTACGTCAGTCCGGCATTAATTCATCTGTAATTTGGTACCTAATTTTATAGAAATAATAGTAAATTGGCAAGGAAATTAGAAATATCCCGATCCCATGTATTTAGATAGGGGGAATCAGTCGCCTCTCTGACTTCAGCCCAGCCTTAAATTTAAAAATTTCAAAATATAAATAATCATATTAATAATAAAAAAGTTACTGTTATACCTATTGATATTAGTAAATTTAAATTAGTGAGCATTACTGATGAAGTAATTTAATGATTAAATATTCAGTATTTATTAAACAGATAAAAAATAATTCTATAATAATTACAACAATTACTGTTGTACTTTTAAATACGTGGAGGTGCTGCACTTAGACTTGGCCTGTTAAAAGTCTAACTCGTAATTTAGCGCTCAGAGATAAATTATTGATTGTAGAATTAATAATTTATTGAATGCCTATTAATTAATTCTAAGAAATTGACAGAATATTCTAATGAATTATTTTGGGGTATTATATCGAATAATTTATTGCTGAGCGCTAAGTTGAGGTTATACACTTTAAAATTGCAATGTCTTTATTATAATGACTTAAACACGTCATGATAACTTCAGAAAACTTCATTAATTTACTTCAGGAACAGATTAAGTATGATATTGTCTTTCAAAATTAATTATTTTAAATACTGAATAATTGGCCACGCCCCCATATATAAGATTTAAGAAACTACAGATTTTTTTTCCTTAAATATACGATTTTTTTTATAAAGTTGGTACCATTGTGAGGTTGTTATAGTATAGTTAAGGCTGGGCTGTAGACAGATTTCCTCCTAGAAAGTTCCTAGCAAATTTTTCTCTACAAATGACGGCGTCAAAAATGGATGAATTTAGTTAATTTAGGACTTAATCAAAAGCTTATTTTATTCTTCACATCGGAAAACAACAATATAATAACATTAATTACTTCATCATAATTAAAAATGAAGATAAAGATATGCACTCATTTTTCACTAGATTTTAGAGGTGTCATGGCGGATACCGCTGTCATCAGCTGTCAACGAGAAAATGATTTATTTCACAATAACCACTGTACCTATACTGTAAATCGTTGTTTTCCGATGTACATACTATTGTTCGGAATATATAAAAAAATATTTTATAACAAAAAAACGAATAAATAAAACACAGTTTCGCGAGAAAAATTTCAGGTGATCATTCACAGAATCGTATTTTTTCCATTCTCGACAGGTGGCGTAGCAATGGTCTCTGAAAGGCATGGAATGATTATTGATTTTTACGACAGTGCGTATCAAAATTACTCAGAGCTCTAAGACAAGTGACAAAGACCGTTATATCTTCTGTCGCAGTCTTACTCATTCCATCTTTCTGCGCATGTGTTGCACATAAAAAAGTATGAGTAGAAGTAAGAAAGGCTCATGTTCGTAGAAAGAGAAAGGCATACGACAATCGGCAGCGAGTTCTGGCACTTCGCCGGCAAGCTATATCCCCTCCCTTCGTACCCAAGCGAGTAGCTTATAACTTATGAATATAAACAATAGAAGAGTTAATGTATTAGCTCTGCACACAGAGCACTAGATTTTTAATTTGCCGAGCCGAGTTCAAACCCAGCCGCAGCCAATTTTTTTTTTCTCTTTTTTTTTGTAATGATATACAAGCGTTATTTTAGCATGCCAAAATTAGTTTTAAATAAAGTTTTTTTTATTAATTACTCTTCCAATTTATAGCGGAAAAGTAAGAAAGTTATTAAAAAGTTTGAAAAAACTTGTTTTTATGTCGCTACAAAAGAGACAACAGTTTTTTTTTAATAATTATAAAACATGAAGAGCACTTACAACAATTTGTGACGAGTTCCGGCACATCGCCGGAAAGCTGGATACCCACACACCATACCCTAGCAAGCAGCTTAAAATAATAAACACAAAATATTTATATCAGGCATGGGCGATTGGGACTGCTCGAAGTCCCCGGGACTTCGTACCTGAAGTGACTTTTTCTAACTTTTGCTGTGGACAATAGAACCCCTATTGTCCCAGCAGTCTTAATCCCATACACAATAGGGACTTCGAGCAGTCCCATCTATCGCAGTAGGTAGAAGTGAGACAAATGATAAAACAGTTTTCCCTCTTTGTTCCGTAGGGCAAGACCATCTTAGTTAACAATTGAAATATTAATTTACTTTCACAGGTAAAGAACGGATCAGTAGCTCAGAGGTTAAATTCTCTGGCTGTGAGTTTTGTAGCGACAGGTTCAAATCTCGCCAGTTGCTTTTTTTTTTCTTCAACTTAATTTATTAATTCCATTACAATATTTATTATATTTTTTTTATAACAATACTGAGTCCCATCTATCTGTTCTTCATGAGTAATGAAAAAAAATTTTTTTGGACCATTTCTTTATTAATGTTAGTAACAGAAGAATAATAAAATAAACAAGTACATTCAACTTATTCACTACAAATTGAATTTTCTACATACATGTATATATAAAAACGGGAATGAATGTTTTTACAAGACATTTTAATATGTACTTAAAAACTACTTTACAACTACAACGGAAATATTTAAAATAAGTGATTAAATTTCAAAGAAATATACGCTGCTAAATCATAACACTTAGATTTTAATTCTCCATGTCAATGTCAGAATCACAGTCTGTATTGTGCGATTTGTGGCACTGCATTTTTGACATGAGATAACAAATGTCTGGTTCGCGTTGACTTGTTTTAATGTTCATTAAGTGTCCTAAATTTTGGTCAGTTAATCGCGATCTTTCACTCGTTTTTATTTTTTTCATGAACGAAAAGCCACTCTCACTTAAATATGTTGATCCAAACACTGACAAAATTTTTTTGTAAATTTTCAAAAAATTTGGATATTGTTTATTTGCAGCTATCACATTCCACATGTTACCACCACTCGCAATTACAGCATTTATTTTATTGTCTCGTGGTAATGATTCAAATTCATTTACTAATTCACTGAAGTCAATCCAATCAGCATTTGAAAACAGTCGTTTGATTGTTTCGATGAGTTCTCCATATCGTTCGAATTTTATAGCAAACGGATTAACGGCTATTTCACCAATAATTTCAAGATCTCTAAAATCTTTGAAGCGTTTTTTGACTTCATCTAAAATAGGCATTGTTACTTTTATTAACGACTCACCATTGAATCGTTCTTCTGAGCTCTCACCGAACAATTTCTTCAATCGCTGCAATCTTTCATCGATACTATTCACTTCACAATGTTTTATAATGTTCACCAATGTTAATTCGAAATCTCTAATCACTTGAATTTGGTCCCACACAACCTTACACTTCCCTTGCAGTTTTTTATTAATCGAATTAATTATTAAAGTTAAATCGACTGCGTACATCAATAATGACAGCCATTTAAAATCATGCAATTTATTGACCCACTCCTCTTTTCCTTTTATTAATAAAAAATCGCGTATTACCGGAAGTAAGTTTGCAAATCGTTGAAGCATATTTGCTTTACTCAACCATCGCACTTCAGTGTAGTAAATAACATCAGATTCATCACTATTTTCGTCCATATCTTTTATGAGCTGCTTGAATTGTCTGTGATTTAACGCCCGTCCCCGAATAAAATTAATTATTGTTACCACTTCATCTATCACATCGTTTATTCTAAGAGCTTTAGCACACAATACTTGTTGATGAATGATGCAATGATAAACGTTGAAAAAAGGAAACTTCTTATTATTTCTACACTTAGCTAGAAAACCATTTTGATTTCCGGTCATCGTTGCAGCTCCATCAGATGTTATGGAAACCAACTTTTCCAGAGGGACATTGCGTGACTCTAGCAGAATTTCAAAATGCTTAAAGAGTTCATCGGCAGTGGTTCTATCATGCAATGAAAATAGTCCAAAGCATTCTTCTTTTAATGTTAAATCGGGGAAAACCATCCTGATAAAAACTAGAACTTGCGCAATGTCGCTGACGTCCGTGGATTCGTCGAGTTGAAAGGAGAAACAGTCACACCGTTGTAGATCATCATCAATTTGAGAGTATATATTCTCACTCATTAATTGAATTCGATTGGTGATTATTCTCCGGGATAATGGAACGTTGGATATTGCCTCTTCTACTTCTTTTTGTAATTTGGGACAAGTGTTAAACAATTCCCGGTTGAATTTTTTTACAATGGTCTTCAATCCTTCACCATGCTCAAATGGTAACATCTCTTTCGCGATCTCTTGAGCCATCAAAAAAGAAATTCTTGTCCCTGTTGCTACTGATGCATCAATGCGTTCAGCCCCTTCATAACTCAGTAACGATTTTCTCATTGTAATGTGTGAAATTCGATCACTTTCCTTTTTTGTGCTGAATTCACGGTGAAAATTGAGGTAATGATTTTCGTGGTTCGTTTTTAAGAAGTGAATGAAAGGCTTTGGTGGTTCACATAACACACAAAACGCGGTATTGCGGTCAAACTGGACTAAACCATATTGGTTCTCCCACTGAGAATTATAAAAACGTTTTTTTGATTTTTTTGCAACCGGTTCATCAAACTCCATATTTCTTGTTATTAATGAAAACTTATTATTCACAAAAATACCGAAGTTTCAGATGATTGTCGAAACAAGACTGTCTTGGAAATTTAGAAAAATGCTTCATTTATAGATATGACCCCCCACTCTTTTGCCAATACAGGATTTGTATTATAATTTGTTGTGGGTATTGTTCATAACAGTAATATTGCAAGGTCAAATATTGTTTTGCATCGAAAGAAGCTATTTACGGCAGCTGTACTTTGGGATGTCATCCTAATTATGTAAGACCCAAACACTTACAGTAATTGATACATAAATCATATGACTTTAAAATTCAAAGTCATATCATTTGTTGGGTGATTTTAAAGTTTTATATCGCCCACTGCAATTGCTACCAATATAATTGTCCGTTGTAATCCTAATTGTGTAAGACCCAAACACGTACAGTACTTGATACATAAATCATATGACTTTAAAATTCAAAGTCATATCATTTATTAGGTGATTTTAAAGTTTTATATCGCCCACTGCAATTGCTACCAATATAATTGTCCGTTGTAATCCTAATTGTGTAAGACCCAAACACGTACAGTAATTGATACATAAATCATATGACTTTAAAATTCAAAGTCATGTCATTTATTAGGTGACTTTAAAGTTTTATATCGCCCACTGCAATTGCTACCAATATAATTGTCCGTTGTCTTTTAACAGACAGGTTCAAATCTCGTTAGTTGCATAATGTATTGTAGTAACACTTGTTACTACAATAAATTAAAAAGAGCAGAAATATATTTATTTTTTATCCTTTATCAAGACACGAATATGGGACTCAGTATTGTTATAAAAAAAATATAATAAATATTGTAATGGAATTAATAAATTAAGTTAAAGAAAAAAAAAGCAACTGGCGAGATTTGAACTTGTCGCCACAAAACTCGTAGCCAGAGAATTTAACCTCTGAGCTACCGATTCGTTCTTTACTTGTGAAAGTAAATTAATATTTAAATTGTTAACTGAGATGGGCTTGCCCTACGGGCAAGAGATAATGTAACTTTCTTACCCGGACCTTCCTAATCCTGTAATCCTAATCATAAAATTATTAAAAAAAGAATAGAATTTTATTGCAAGCAATAAAGTTGGAACAAAGGGGACTTCGACTCGAAAAAGTTTGCCCATGCCTGATGTAACTTTCTTACCCGGACCTTCCTAATCCTGTAATCCTAATCATAAAATTATTAAAAAAAGAATAGAATTTTATTGCAAGCAATAAAGTTGGAACAAAGGGGACTTCGACTCGAAAAAGTTTGCCCATGCCTGATTTATATGAAGGTATACTAGCTCCGTGGTCAGAGCGCCAGTTTTTTATTTTGCCGAGCAGGGTTCAAACCCAGTTACGGAAAGATTTTTTAGAAATTTTTTTTTGTTAAAATTGCATGTAATTGCAATTTTCTGATTCCAAAATTAATTTTCAATATCAATTTTAATTTTTTCTATAGTTATTTTTCTAATCAATGACGGAAGAGTAATAAAAAATTAAAGTAGTGCAGAAAAATTTATATTTATATAGCTACATTAGTTGTAGGGTTTTTTTCAACAAACAAAAATAATAAACAGCAAAAAACAGTTGAAACAATCCGCGGCGAGTTCCGGCGCTTCGCTGACAAGTTTGATTCCCTCTCTCCGTACCCAAGCCTGCAGCTTATGACTTATAAACATGTAAACAACAAATGAACACATGTTAGCTCTGTGGTCAGAGCACGCGACTTTTATTTTGCCGGGCAGGGTTCGATCCCCGTCACGGCCAATTTTTTTTTTCGTTGTTAAAATTACACATAATTACAATAATGACATATTCATGTTGGATTAAAATTGTTTTCTAAAGTTTTATAGAATCTACATTTTTTAATAAAGAGAATTCGTAGTAACTATACATGTCGTTTTTGGAAAAATTTAGAAATTAATTTTAAACTAATATGAATAGGTAATTATGGTAATTATAAGTAATTTTAACGAATGTAAAAAAAAAATTGGCCGTGGCTGGGATGGAACCCTCATCGGCAAAATAAAAGTCTGGCGCTCTGACCACAGAGCTAACATACATTCATTTGAGAATTCTATATTTATTAATTATAAGCTGTTGGCTTGGGTACGAAGAGTGGGAATAGAGCTTGCCGGCGAAGCGCCGGAACTCACCGTGAATTGTTTTGACTGTTTTTTGATGTTTATCATTACGAATTGTTTAAAAAATAATCTTACAACTAATGTAGCTATACATAAGTATAAAGATAAGTTTTTTTACACTGTTTGATTTTTTTATTACTCTTCCGTCATTGATTAGAAAAATAATTATGAAAAAAATTGAAATTGATGTTTAAAATTGGTTTTGGTATCCTAAAATTGCAATTATATGCAATTTTAACAAAAAAAAAAGAGAAAAAAAAGTTGGCTGTGACTGGGTTTGAACCCGGCTCGGCAAATTAAAAATCTAGTGCTCTGTCTGCAGAGCTAATACATTAACTTTTCTAGTGTTTATATTTATAAGTTATAAGCTACTCGCTTGGGTACGAAGGGAGGGGATAGAGCTTGCCGGCGAAGCGCCAGAACTCGCAGTCTTCTCTCTGATAAATAAGACGGAGATGGATGTATATACTTTATGCTCTGTCTTGCTTGGAACAGATTATTAAAGAATTTGTAAATTTTTTGGTGCCCTAAGGCGCCCTTTTTTTAGTGCATTCCTGAAAATTATCATTTTTTGAGCAATTTCTCTGTTACCTACTCAATTTCAATTAAAATCGAGCTTCGGCCTTCTGCCGCCCAACGCGAGGGCGCAAAGTCAACTTCGGAACTTTTCTTAGGTATAGCCCAGCCTTAAGAGAATTAGTTGGTAAACAAAATTTGGGAGCCTGTCATCCGTCCCCAATAAGATGTCAGTCAAAGGCATTTTTACAATCTTTAAAATTTAAATCTTTAAATGTATAATCTTACTGATTGTCAATCAAATTCTATGATGCCCAGATTTTTTATCTAATGATCATTTCAAAAATAAGCTTTATTCTTTTAATCTTTTAAAATTGGTTTTTTTTTATTTTCAATCATTTATTATTCAATCAAATTATAGAAATTTTTCTTTTTTTAATGTTTATTATTTCGTTGAACAGTCAACTTAAGAATTTAGGACTGGTAAATTATCTTGCGTCGATATAGTAGAAAAAAATTCAACTAGTGTCACTGTTTTCTGATAGATGATAGTAATTGCACTGTTTTCAATCAAAAATTCAAAATGCTTATACAAAGAAAAGTCTTCTTTCTGGCTCATGTAATGTTATGTAATTCCTACTACATAAATAACGATGTTTAAGCTTATAATCTAATGATAATAACATTTTTATCTTAATGTTAACGTAATAACGTAATCCAAGTGAAAAAAATTTGAAAACTGAATTATTAAAAAGTTGAAAAACTTCAAAAATAATGTCTGTCAGTATTCTTCTCTTCTTTAATAAACATAAACAATTTTCGTGCAACGAAAAAAAAGTTTTATTACTTAAGTTTTTATAAAAATAAATCAGTATTTGTAATGAATACCTCAATTTACCTGAATTAGAATATAAATATAATATGAATATAAATTTATTAATAAATTTTAATATAAATCACTAGTCAATTTAATTATTTTAAAATAAAATAATCAGGGTCAATTAAAGAATTCAAAAATCATTCCTGAAGTTATAAGTCTAACTTTTATTTATATTTAAGAAAACATACATTTGCTGGTATCTCTCTAACTTTAGTTTTCTACACTTCCAAATTATGAGCCACGTTGTCTCAGCTCCCGTCGAATATTTGTGCGTTCAACTACTGCCCACAAATATTCTGACAATGTCATCCTATATATAAATTGATATTATAACAAATTATTTAAATTTAATATAAAATGATTGAATAAATTGACAAATTATATAAGTACCTTCCATTTCTCAAGGACTCTTGTAAATTATTAATGCACAAGTCAATTGTATGTTGAATTGCTCGAGAATAATTTTGTCGTGTAGTCATTTCTTTAGAATAAGAAAAACAAATTAAGTTATTTTTTTTAAAAATATACTCATTATTATGTAACTTATATACACGTATAATATATTTTTATTTGAGTAATTAAAAATACTTAATGGAAAAATTACGTTTTTGTGTTAAAACTAATTGTCGGGTGAACTAAGTTGAGTAATGATAAAAATTTCATAGGATCTTGATTTTATTTCTCTTCAATATATAATTTATTTGTGTGAAAATTTATTTTGTTTTTTAAAAAATATGTCATTAATGAAAAAAGGAGTTTGAAATAAAAATTTTATTAAAAAAAAACCTGTTTAAAAAATTTAATTACACGATGGAAGAAACTAACTTCATTAGAAAAGTTATACTAAGCGTAAATTAATGATACAAATACTATATTTTATTTTATTTATAATTACGATAATACTAGAAGACTGTCTTACTAATAGTCAATTAAAACACAAACTAACTAAAGAAATAGCAAGTAATTCAGTAACTTAAATGATTGATAAAACAAAAAAAGGAAATATATTAAAGAAAAATTCAATTTAAAAGTAAAGTATTTTTTTATTATTCTGAATTGTGTAATTGATATTGTAAAGAAATTAACTCAATATAACTTGATGTGGTATATCTCTAACGATGGAAAATATCGATATAAGTAATTGGTTTTAAAGAAAATTATGCTCCATTTCAAGAAGATCAATATAATATTTATTTTTGGTAACTAAAATTGCTATTAAACAGTTCAAAATTCAAAATCATTAAAAAAAAAAATTATTTATCTTTGTATTTTTACATTACATTCTTCATATTAAATTGATATTTAATATTAAGAGAATTATTATGAACAATTTGAAGAGCTTTGAGTAAATGAATTGTAGCCATTAATGTTGGTAGTAAATGAGTACATTGTTCCTGTTGGATATTATTTTTTATGGAAAATTGTATATATGAGTTATATCTTA